AAAAAGTTCCCTAAACTGTATAAGGCAGCCTTGCTAGAGTCCTTGATTTTGTCCCTAGCATATGATATCGATTCCCTCCAAATGATGTTGATCTTCAATTCCCTTCTGCCGCAGGTAATGGGAGCTGAATCAAGCAACGTTTGGAGTCCTCTGTCTTCCACTACAGTCGTCGGGCCAGCTAAGTTACACTGGCATTGCTTCAAACCTGTAGTTAAGACGTTCCAGTGTAGCTATTAGGTGTAAAGAGCAATGAGTCACACACAGACTTCCTCTGCAACCAACAAACAAACTTCCCAAACTCAACATTCTGCCTCCCACGTAGAAAATTTGTCCCTGAATTGCACACGACCTTGGTCCCTTTCTTGTCATAAACATCTGGAAGGCCACACATTCCCATCCCTGATTTTGAGCAATATTTTTTATTGTTTAGGTTAATCTTTCCCTTCTCTTTTCCTGCCGGGCTTTCCTCTTTTCTCTTACGAAAGCCATTAAGGGGGGGGGAATAGATTAAATTAAAAATTGGCATTACATTGGCTACTCTCCAGTCCTCTGGTATGGAAGATGATCTGAGGGAAAAGTTAGGACATCAGCAATGTCACATTTGAGCTCTTGGGTGGATGCCATTGAGACCCAAAAATTTCTCTTGTTTTTGCTTTTTATTTTATCTATTCTGTGAACCGCCCTGAGACCCCTGGTTATAGGGCAGTCTATAAATTCAATAAAGAAAAACAAACAAATAAATATTAGGCATAGAACGTAGTCTCTCGTCATTTATTTATTTATTTATTTAATATATTCCACCCTATACCTGAGGGGGTGTCAGGAAAAGTTCACGGAATAAAATCGAGATATAAAACCACAAAATACATAATAAAAACTGTCTGCCTTCGTTCCCCAAACTCGTCTCTTTGTTCGGGTGTTGGGATCTGTTGTGAAGAGAGACGCAAATAATTAATCTGGCTTCTTCGCAATCTCCATATCCGAAATAAAGAAATAAATACCGACACACTAAGCTTGCAAAAAGAGAGGACAGTTTTTGACATGACAGCCTTACTCTGCTTTAGGCAGCAAAATCCCTTTTGTAAGCAGGAACACCCTTTTCTTGTTTCCAGATGCACGTAGACGATGTTTGCAGCAGAGAGTCATTGCCTAGCTACAGCTATTTCTCGTTTCCGGGGTTAATTTGGACTGTAATTGGAGCTATGGTAAATTCCAAAGACAAATTCCACAAGGAAAAACTTCCGTTGTTGATATCTCCATGGATTCTTAACTAGCAAATATTTCATATATGCACAGGCAATTATTTGCCTGTCATAGATGTTGAATCTAGGAGTGTCAGGTGGGGCCTGGCTATAACAAAATATTACAGTGTGAAATACGCTATAGACTGTTCTGGTTTCCAGTCAAGCCCTCTTCTAGAAGATTTCATTTCTCACTTCCAAGTTAGTTGGCATTCTGTGGTCAGAGAGACATTGCACAATTTTGTAAATCAACAAAATCTTACACACACACACACACACACACACACACACACACACACACACTGTGCCCATTCTTCACTGGGATTAGTTTTTTTGTGGTACTCTGAAGACTGTTTCACCTCCTAAATATTTGCATATTTCTGCAAACCTTGGGGTTCCCTCAAGCTGGCTGGTATCTCCCTCTTGTGTGTTGATTGTACTGTTTTGGCTACGTAAGAACTGGCAACTGGAGAATGGAGTTTGGTATTAAGTCTATTTATGCAAGTGGCGTCCTATCTGTTTCATTGCATTCCTAGTTGAAATATGTGTTACCTGAAAACTTTGACTGAGGGGAGTGGGCCTCACAAACAAGAATCATTGCTTGACGTGCATTAAAAAAAAAGTCCTACAGTAACTAATAGCTTTTGGGTCATTCTACCATTCTACAGAGCCTAGGGCTTGCCGATCAGAAGGTTGGCGGTTCGAATCCCCGCGACAGGATGAGCTCCCATTGCTTGGTCCCAGCTCCTGCCAACCTAGCAGTTCAAAAGCATATCAAAGTGCAAGTAGATAAATAGGTACCGCTCCGGTGGGAAGGTAAACAGCGTTTCCGTGCACTGCTCTGGTTCGCCAGAAGCGGCTTTCATGCTGGCCACATGACCCGGAAGCTGTATGCCGGCTCCCTCGGCCAGTAAAGCGAGATGAGCGCCGCAACCCCAGAGTCGTTCGCGACTGGGGTCCCTTTACCTTTACCTTGCCATTCTCTGGTACTGTCTTATTTTATAGCACAGTATATTGATTATTGCTTTCATTTTATGGATCAATGGTCTCGTTAGATAGTAAAATCCATGTTAAATTGCTGTATTAGGGGTTGTTTTTAAAAGTCTGGAATGGATTAGTCCATTTTGCATTACTTTCTATGGGAAAGCGTGCCTTGGTTTTAGAACGCTTTGGTTTTGGAACTGACTTCTGGAACGGGTTAAATTTGAGAACCAAGGTACCACTGCATATAGTTTTAAAGTCCTGTACACAACTTTTAGAGTATACTTGTGGAACAATATTGCTATTTATTTCCCCCTCAAACTTCGTATAAGCAGACGTAGTCAACATGGTTGACTTTGTTGGCCAAGGATCACATACCTCAGAGGAAGGGTTTGCATATAAATAGTGTGCTGGACCCAGAAGACCTGAGCATTGCTCCTAAGAGCAGCAGAGCATTAATGCCATAAATGCTAACCACAAAGCAATGTAAAAAAGAAGAAGAAGAAGAAGAAGAAGAAGAAGAAGAAGAAGAAGAAGAAGAAGAGGAGTTTGGATTTGATATCCCGCCTTTCACTCCCTTTAAGGAGTCTCAGAGCGGCTAACATTCTCCTTTCCCTTCCTCCCCCACAACAAACACTCTGTGAGGTGAGTGGGGCTGAGAGACTTCAAAGAAGTGTGACTGGCCCAAGGTCACCCAGCAGCTGCATGTGGAGGAGCGGAGACGCGAACCCAGTTCCCCAGATTACGAGACTACCGCTCTTAACCACTACACCACACTGGCTCGGTAAAGGGACCCCTGACCATTAGGTCCAGTTGCGACCGACTCTGGGGTTGTGGCGCTCATCTCGCTTTGCTGGCCGAGGGAGCCGGCATACAGCTTCCAGGTCATGTGGCCAGCATGACTAAGCTGCTTCTGGCAAACTAGAGCAGTGCACGGAAACACCGTTTACCTTCCCAACGGAGCAGTACCTATTTATCTACTTGCACTTTGACATGCTTTCGAACTGCTAGGTTGTCAGGAGCAGGGACCGAGCAACGGGAGCTCACCCCGTCACGGGGATTTGAACCGCCGACCTTCTGATCGGCAAGTCCTAGGCTCTGTGGTTTAACCCACAGCTCCACCCGCGTCCCTTTACAAAGCAATGTAATGCCCCTCGGATGACATTCTGAATCCCTTCTAGCCCCTGAACCCTTTTCTTCCATGTGATCCTCTCCCCACCACTAAAAAGGGGGGAAAAGGTTATGGGTAGGCAAACTAAGGCCCGGGGGCTGGATCCGGCCCAATCGCCTTCTAAATCCAGCCCGTGGACGGTCCAAGAATCAGCGTGTTTTTACATGAGTAGAATGTGCCCTTTTATTTAAAATGCATCTCTGGGTTATTTGTGGGGCATAGGAATTCGTTCATATATATTTTTTTCAAAATATAGTCCAGCCCCCCACAAGGTCCGAGGGACAGTGGACTGGTCTCCTGCTGAAAAAGTTTGCTGACTCCTGGTTTAGGGAGACACAAGTTGCATTAAGCCAATGGTGGTGGTATGCATAAATTGTAAATTGCCTGCAAAATCACACATGCGATTAAACCCAAAGAAATCTAAATCCAGACACCTAAATCTAAAGAAGACTTGATGCATTTTATTAGCAATTTTATTATAATTTTCTAAATATTATACAATATGATACAACCAAATGTTCTGAAGGCATGGCGTCCTGCCACAAGCAACTGCAACTAAGGTCACACCAGATACTTGTAGCGCTTTAATCATCAACTTCCCACTCCCCCCCCCCAAAAAATAGAATCCTGAGAACCATAGCTGAACCCCAGCAGAGCTAAAATTCCCAGCACCCTTAGCAAACTACAGTTCCCAGAATCCTTTGGTGGAAGTGTTGTGCTTTAAATATATAAAGTGGATGTGATCCCATGGAAAATATTCAGAGTCCACAGGACAAGTAGAGATTTATATCTGTTCTATCGCACTTCAGAAAGAGGTAAGGCTTGATGTTTGGTTTATGATACACTTGGATTTTACAAGACACCTTTTGGCCTAACCCATTGCACCTATTATTCCGGGAATGGGAGCTCCAAATATGTGCACAGCCTAAGCCGTCCTGCACAACTTCTCCATACATTTCAGAAAGGAACATATTCATATGCCTTCCGTTCTATATTAGTTCCAGTGCCAGATTTACGTATAAGCTAAACAAGCTATAGCTTAGGGCTCCACTCTCTTGGGGGCCCCCAAAAAAATTAAAGGAAAAAAAAACGAATGTACATTTCCAAAATATCAGACAAAAAACAAATAAAATAAAACCTACATACAGCAACAAGTGTTTTGTGTTGTGTAGGCTCTTATGATGTAAGTAATGGGCCCCGCCTGCTTGCCTGCTCCCTAAAATATCACTGGTTTGCTCATTTCTATATGCAGTGGTACCTCGGGTTAAGTACTTAATTTGTTCCGGAGATCCGTACTTAACCTGAAACTGTTCTTAACCTGAAGCACCACTTTAGCTAATGGGGCCTCCTGCTGCTGCCACACTGCCGGAGCACGATTTCTGTTCTCATCTTGAAGCAAAGTTCTTAACCTGAAGCACTATTTCTGGGTTAGCGGAGTCTGTAACCTGAAGCGTATGTAACCCAAGGTACCACTGTATAGGGTGCCTACATTCTGCATGGACTGGTTGCATGGCAACACGTGCAAATGGCTTTAGATACCTATTAGGTCCATAAATTACCGTATAGCATATATTCAACACAAAAAACAGCGACCGTTTGTTGTTGACAAAGGACAGCTGGACATAGAAAGGGCCCCATGACTTTCCATAGCTTAGGGCCTCGTCAAACCTAAATCTGGCCCCGATTAGCTCCCTCCATTGAAGCGAATGGGCCTACTGAGAATAGGCTGGGCCTTTGGATCAGCGGAGAATTCACGAATGCTGGAAGCTGGATAATGAAGAGTTACGCACATTTGCGATGCTTCAGTTTCTGCGTTGCCAGGGTCAGCCTGTAATCCCATTTCTGCCAGTGATACACTTGGTTGACAACGATGTTCATTTCCTCTGTGGTCCCCACAATGAGATATACCTTGGGACGGTGGGCATGGACCAGTTGCCGAGTACAGTTTTCGTTGATCAGAAACCACTGCTTAATCACACTGCGAGCATCGAAAGGCAAGAGCGACCCCTGGTTAATGAATTCCACCTGGCAGTCAATGTCATATTCTGGAGCGCCGAAGGCAGGTCGTTTCCTGGACAGTTTCACCTTTGCGGCTGCAAAGAGAGAAAGAAAAATTGTGTGTGTGTGTGTGTGTGTGTGTGTAGCTTCTCCTGTATTAATATAGAAATTAAGAGAGAAGATGTTGTAGAATCTAGCAAGCCCATCACGGGGATGCCTCGATCCTAAGTGTGCCAATAATAACTTACCAAAATTGCCGATACAAAAAATGTCCAGCACTTTCCTGCGCGTCAAGAGCTCATCAATGGCCGGGCAAGTCTGGCAGATAGGCTTGGGAAAGGCTGGCGGTTAAGAGGAGAAAAAATCCAATTTGTCACGGGGGCATGCACTTGATTCCCACAGAAAATAAACCTGTCATGTCTGGAGATCTCTCGGAGAATTCTTAGACATTTTTTGACAACTTGGAAGATAAAGCTGAGCTCGGGGCTCTGTATATTATAGGATAAGCCCTGAGAATCATAGAATTGTAGCGTTGGAAGGGACCACGAGGGTCAATCTAGTCTGACCCCTTGCAGTGCAGGAATTTTTGGTCTAACGGGATCGAACCCATTGCCCTGAGATTAAGAAGCTCATGTTCTGCCGACAAAGCTATTCCAGTTAGAAAGAACGCTTCAGCAGGACGCCATATGTACCAATTGTTATATCTTAGGAATTATATCCAATATCAGAATTCTTTTTTTTTTAGAATTAAAAGGTTTTTATTTTATTTATTTATTTTTATTATTTTGAAAAAAGTAACAATCATAAATAAATAAGAATCGTGACCCCATGGACCAGAGCACGCCAGGCACCTCTGTCCTCCACTACTTCTCGCAGTTTGGTCAAACTCAAGCTGGTAACCTCGAAAACACTATCCAACCATCTCGTCCTCTGTCGCCCCCTTCTCCTTGTGCCCTCCATCTTTCCCAGCATCAGTGTCTTCTCCAGGGAGTCTTCTCTTCTCATGAGGTGGGCCAAAGTACTGGAGCCTCAGTTTCACGATCTGTCCTTCCAGTGAGTATTTCTGGGTTAGCGGAGTCTATAACCTGAACCGTATGTAACCTGAAGTGTATGTAACCCGAGCTACCACTGTACAAATTCTACAAACACCCACCATATCTCCTCAAAATAATTTCTGCTGCGTATTCCCCGTCTTACCTTAATGGCACATGTTAATTTATCATTAATAGCTATATCCCACACCTCTTTATACCAGTGTTTCCCAACCTTTTTTGGGCAAAGGCACACTTGTTTCATGAAAAAAATCTCGAGGCACACCACCATTAGAAAATGTTTAAAAAATTAACTCTGTGCCTATATTGACTATATATAAAGTAACTCTCTTTAATAGGAATCAAATAAACACAAAGATAGTATTTTATAATTACAGTGGTGCCTCGCAAGACGAAATTAATTCGTTCCGCAAGTCTCTTCGTCTTGCGAGTTTTTCGTCTTGCGATGCACGGTTTCCCATAGGAATGCATTGAAATCAATTAATGCGTTCCTAGGGAAACCGCCTTCAGACCAGGTCCGAGGACAGTCTGTCCCCCGACCTCTTCTGAAGGCTGGGGGGGGAAAAGGGCTTTTCTTCCCACCCCCAGCATTTTATAAAATCCCGGGACAGCGGAGGACGTCTCCGCTGTCCGGGGCGATCTTAAAATGCTGACGGCGGCATTTTAAAATCGCCCGGGACAGCGGAGGACTTCTCCGCTGTCCGGGGCGATTTAAAAGCCCCTGGGAAGGCAGGCAGGGGGGACAAAGACTTTCACCCCCGCCAGCCTTCAGAAGAGGTCCTGGACCTCTGAAGGCTGGCGGGGGGCGAAAGTCTTTGCTCCCCCCCCCTGCCTTCAAAAGCCCTCCGGGACAGCGGAGAAACGCAGCGCGTTTCTCCGCTCTCCCGGGAAGGCAGCAGGGGGGAGCAAAGACTTTTGCCCCCCGCTGGCCTTCAGAAGAGGTCCTGGACCTCTTCTGAAGGCTGGCGGGGGCGAAAGTCTTTGCTCCCCCTGCCTGCCTTCAAAAGCTGACCGGCCCAGGCTTCGCGGACCTCTCCGCAAGCAGCGGCAGCACTGCTGCTGCTTGCGGACAGGTGCCAGCATGCCGAAGCCTGGGCGCGCCGAGATCAGCGCGCCCAGGCTTTCCCGCCCCGCCGCCCGGGATCGGGGCATCGTCCCGATGGCGGGCGGCGGCGGAGGCGTCCCCCCCCCCGCCGCCCGGGATCGGGGCATCGTCCCGATGGCGGGCGGCGGCGGAGGCGTTCCCCCCCCCGCCGCCGGCATCGGGCATCGTCCCGATGGCGGGCGGCTGCGGAGGCGTTCCCCCCCGCCGCCCGGGATCGGGGCATCGTCCCGATGGCGGGCGGCGGGGGGAGGCGTTCCCCCCGCCGCCCGGGATCGGGGCATCGTCCCGATGGCGGGCGGTGGGGGGAGGCGTTCCCGCCCCGCCGCCCGGGATCGGGGCATCGTCCCGATGGCGGGCGGCGGTGGAGGCGTTCCCCCCCCGCCGCCCGGGATCGGGGCATCGTCCCGATGGCGGGCGGCGGAGGAGGCGTCCCCCCCCCCGCCGCCCGGGATCGGGGCATCGCGCGCGGAGCCTGGCTCGGGTCGCCAATGCTGCGGGCGGACATGGCGAGCTGGGCGGGATTCGGGCGCGCGCTGGGCGCCTGCTGCCTCCTGGGCCTCTTCTGCGGCGCTGCGCTGCCCTTCTCGCTGCAGGGCGCGAACGAGAAAGCGCCCGCCTCCCTCCCACGGCACACCAGGTAACGTCTCGCGGCACACTAGTGTGCCGCGGAACACCGGTTGGGAAACACTGCTTTATACCATTCTCCCATTTTATATTCTGCTTGCCCCTTCTACTTCCTGGCTATCGTAATTTGTGCAGCTGTCAATAAATTTGTGAGCAAGTCCTTCCCAGCTTGTGAACCTTCCACCCCGCCGTAAATGAATAATAATGCTACCTCTGGACTTTTGGTCAGCTTTAACCCACTGATTTCCAACATTACAGATCTAACATGTATATTCTACACATAAGTAAGTTCCAATAAATCCAGTGGAGCTTTCTCCCAAGTAAGTGAGGTTGAATCCTGACAAGACAGAAGTACTGTTTTGGGGGACAAGGGGTGGGTGGGTGTGGGGGACTCCCTGGTCCTGAATGGGGTAACTGTGCCCCTGAAGGACCAGGTGCGCAGCCTGGGAGTCATTTTGGACGCACAGCTGTCCATGGAGACGCAGGTCCATTCTGTGTCCAGGGCGGCTGTCTACCAGCTCCATCTGGTGCGCAGGCTGAGACCCTACCTGCCCACAAACTGTCTCACCAGAGTGGTGCATGCTCTGGTTATCTCTTGCTTGGACTACTGCAATGCGCTCTACGTGGGGCTACCTTTGAAGGTGACCCGGAAAGTGGGAGAGCACATTTTTAAAAAATTTTTAAATGACATTTTAAAATGCAACAGAAAGCTAGCAGGCAAGAACAGAGAGGATGAGACTAGCCCCACTCTCTCTAGGACAGGTGGTGCTGCCAGCCTGCTGTGGGTCTGGGAGCCTCAAGAGGAGAAAGGTAGGATATGAAGGTACCAGTGTGTGAAACAATGGTATCTGGTGCCCAATAAAACAATGGTATCTGGTGCCCAATAAAACTGGCAGCACAGAAGGCAGGGAGGCCGTCAGTAAGCATAGCCAGAGCAAAGGGACAACCAATTCTACTTTTGAACCCCTTCTGAGTTCTGCAAGGGCAACAATGAGGACAAGCCTCACCCCACTAGACCCGTCGCAAGTACATGCAACCCAAACCCCCGTATAAAGCTGTACCTCCGAGACCACGCTTAGCTTCTTTGCCGAGGGATGCAAGACACGTGTCCTCATCTGCGGGGAACCGATCGCAGTCCAAACTGCCCGGCCAGGGGCGTCCTTGGCATTGCAAGACGGGGGCGCAGCTGTCGCGGACCGCAACGCACATGCTTCTGCAAGGCTGGATGAAACTGTCGGGGAAGCAGGGCAGCTCTTAGGAGCAAAACACGCAGGCACGCCGCGCGCGTCTGAAAGGGTACGGGGGGCGGCGGCCGCCGGCTTCGAGGAAGAAGAAGAGGCCTTCCTTACCCATTTCCTCCCCAAATTGAGGGCGGCCACCAGCCGTGCTGCCTGCGCCCCTCTCCCCACCGGACTCGCATCTCCCGAGTTGAACGTGTGAACGGCCCACGCGGGTCCGGCCGCGGGTACTCACGTGTCCAAGCACACGGGTGCGAAGAGCGAGCAGAGGAAGATCCCCGCGTGCGGGTGGCAGCCGGTGCTGACGAGGCGCTGCCACGCGGCGGCTTTCCCCACGACTTCGGGCAAACCGACGTGACCCAGGAGGTTGGGCAGCCTCATCTCCGAGTAGCCGATGTCGTGGCACATGGCCATGTCCGTGGGGATGGCGACGCACTTGGTGGATAAGCCCAGGTCCAGCCCCGCCGCCCGGCGCAGCGCCAAGGCCAGCAGGACGGCCGCGGGGAGCATCGCTGGCGCCTCCGTAACGTGAGGATGCCTCGCAGAGTCAAAGGTCTCTTTGCAGATCTGAGCAAAGGTCAGGGTGTGGGGCGCTTTATATCTGCACGACCCCCACCCGCCAACCCTCAGGGCTCAGCTCCTTTTATCTGATGGAAAACCCCAAGGAAAAAAAAAAGGTGTTTGCTTATAGCCCATTTAAGTGTTTTGATGGGATTAGTGGTTCCCAAAGGGTGTGAATGGCAAAGAAACATTCAAACATTTCAGTGCGTCAACAGAAAAGAGAAGCTGAAGACCTCTTGACCAAAGCGCCTTTATAATTCTTGATTCTTTTACAGTGAGATGTTGCCAATGACTGACCTGAATGTCTTATGTATTCTAAAGAGGAAATCCTTCATTTAAAAAAAATATGGTGGAATAAACCTGCATTGTTTTTTATTGGACACTTTGGTTTTTAAATGAACTGATGGAGTACGACAGCCACTCAAAAACGACAGGCGTTTGTTTGGATTGCTGCTAAGGAGGGTGATATTCAAAGAGGGGGTGGGAAGGGAAAAAAAGGGGTTCTGCCTTCTGCACTTCTGGGGTCTCTGGTTTTCCCTAGCTGTGGATGGCAAGCTGCCTCTCAGACCTTCCTAGTTTGCAACTTGGTCCATTTTTAACGAAACACTTTGTATAAATGCTCTTACGCGTCTTAATTTTTAAATAAATTGCCATCAGCTGCAGGGGGAAAACAAGAGAAAAAGGCTTCTTTGTTTTGAAGAGAGTTTGTCTCAAATTAGACCTAATCTTCTTCTTTGGCAATTACTCATAACTGTGTAAGATTGTCTTCCATAAACATGGTTTTAACAGTGGGTCCATAAGTGACTGTGGAGGCCAATTCTGGATCCACTTGTCCTTCCACAGTGGGGAAATAGGTTTCCGGGTGGGAGATAATCATGGTGAGGGTTTGCCAAGCGTGCCTTCCTCTTAGCACATTTCTCCCTTGTGTCCTGAGTTCCAGTGTCTTCAAAGCCCACGACACCTTTGGTAATGGCTGTTCTCCAATTGGAGTGTTCGCTGTTCAGATCCAGTGAGGACATGGGTTTCCTGGTGGAAGTTGATCACGGTGAGGGTTTGCCAAGCGTGCCTTCCTTTTTATTAGACCTAATACAAATGAGATGGCTGAGCAAAAGCAAGCTCACATCTTTCACTGAGTTTATATACATGCTTAAGGTACAGGAGGCTCGTTTATCAATATATTTCGGGCAGGGCACATCAAAGTACAAGTAAATAAATAGGTACCGCTCTGGCGGGAAGGTAAACAGTGTTTCCGTGCGCTGCTCTGGTTTCACCAGAAGCGGCTTAGTCATGCTGGCCACATGACCCAGAAAAATTGTCTGTGGACAAACGTCGGCCCCCTTGGCCAGTAAAGTGAGATGAGCGCCACAACCCCAGAGTCGTTCGTGACTGGACTTAACTGTCAGGGGTCCTTTACCTTTAAGCTAGTGAAGCTAATGGGGCCCTTTATATGTCCAGCTGTCCTTTGTCAACAGCAATTTTTCACTGTTTTTTGTGTTGAATAGATGTTATATGATTTATGGACCTAATAGGTATCTAAAGCCATTTGCACATGTTACCATGCAACCAGTCTATGCAGAATGTAGGCACCCTATATACAGAAATGAACAAAGCAAAGTGATATTTTAGGGAGCAGGCTAGCAGGCGGGGCCCATTACTTACATCATAGGAGCCTACACAACGCAAAACACTGTTGCTGTATTTAGGTTTTATTTTATTTGTTTTTTATCTTATATTTTGGAAATGTACACCCAGTTGCTTTCCTTTAATTTTTTGGGGCCCCCCCAAGAGAGTTGGGCCCTAAGCTATAGCTTGTTTGGCTGATACGTAAATCTGGCACTGATTTTGGGAATAATTGATGTTCTTATATAGCTGCATAGTTTTGTTTTGTTTTTTAGTTTCTGGATTTCCCATGATCATATTATCAACCATTTGTGTCCTGTGTTATAAATTAAGCACTGCTAGGAGTTGTTCCTTTTTGTTTTCCAATGCATTTCTTAACAATAAAAAATGGGTGTGGCACCAGCAAATTTTTATTCTGAAAAAAGTTTGAGAGCCACCAGATTGTGTCCATGTGGTGGACACAAGGTGCCTGGGTGGGTGTTTAATGAACATTTTTGGGGCTTTTTTGCAGGTGAGACTTGTGAAGGTGTGAGGAGGGGATTCTGCTAGGGAATTCTGCAAATGAAGTGTGAAGCTGAGTTAAGGCAGACTCCTGGAAAAAGGGTGTGAGGAGCAGACAGCCTGTCTCCTTGGGGCCTGGGTTTGTCGGCTTGGCTTCAGACATGGCTGGTGTAGCCGAAAAGGCAGAGGAGATGGATCCCCAAGAGAAAATGTTTTGCTTTTGTCAATTGCCTCCTGGCGCTTGCTTGCCTCAGGAGTGTGTAGGAAGACTTTTCTCCGTGAGGTAAAGTGCTAGAAATCAAATTACCTTGTCTGTCAAAAGGGGCTGCCTAATTTCTAAAGAAATTGGGCCCCAGAAGCTGCCTAGAATCGTAAGATTTTATTGATAATGGAAATGTGTCGACTTTGCAGAAGTTGAAGTGGATGAAAGGAGACATCTTCATTTTCCTCATTTCCCATATGCAAGTTCGGATGTTTAACCTGAATTCAGGACCATAAGCATCACATCAAAGCCCACTTTCCACCAGACGGAAAAACAGGCAGTTATCAAGTCTTTTTGTGCAGGCGACAGCTCTGTAAATTAGAATTTTAAAAGGGCAAGTTAAAATTACAAGACATTTACTGCACATGGAGTTACAAGGTTTTAATGATGCCACAACTGAAAAGAGGTGGCATTTGAATCGTGGTTAAATCTATAGAAACATGGATGTATATTCAGCTAGTCAGGAAACATAAAACATACACTTCTCCAGTCATGTAACCATTAAATGGAGGAGCTTTACTTGGATTAGGAGTTGGCAATGCTATACAAGGTATCTGATCTGGCCCCGGGTGCCTGCTATTTCAGTTGCAATTCACAGCAATTTCTTTCTTTTATTACAAAGGTGTGCTTTTGATGGGCAATAAATGAGAAAGCCTAAAGAATACACATATAACTCAGAGTTAGGTTTAAAAAAGAAAGAAAAAAGCAACCTTCATCGATCGTTTCTTTCCATCATATAAATAATGTAACTCAAATGATGGACTTTTTTTTGTGTGTGAAACATTTAATAATTTCTACTGCAGTATTTGGTGTGGAAAGTGATTCGCAGCAGTGATCTCATCAGTTTCCTGATCCAGAGGACAAAAGTTTGGTGTGGCGAAAAGAACTGAAATTGGATTTACAAGTGCCTCGCCCTGTAGAGCATTGATCAGCAATCTTCACATCAGCTTGTGATACGGCCATGAGACAAGGCGATGTGTGCTCTGGGCAAAGACTAAAACTTCACATTCTTCATCAAGGTACGCTCATTACAAAATGGCTCAGAATTTAAATAAATATAGAAAGATAGAAAATTTCCCATTACAAGTCTTCAGAGACAACCCTGCTAGTGATGTTAATAGCTTACAATAATCTTTCAGATATCGTATAAATTTACTTCAATCCTTTTGGAATACTTGATCCTGCTGGTTTCGGATTTTTCCTGTCAGCTTCGCCAGTTCTGCAAAGTCCATCATCTTCGTCTGCCATTCTTCTTTCGTTGGTACTTCTTCTCGTTTCCATTTTTGGGCTAAGAGAATTCTTGCCGTAATTGTTGCTTACATAAACAGTCTTTTATCTTCCCTTGGTATCTCTTCACCCACAATACCAGTTAAAAAGGCTTCTGGTTTTTTTAAACAAAAGTATTTTTAAACATTTTCTTTAACTCATTATATACCATTTCCCAGAAAGCCTTTACAAGGTAAGTATTTAGATTCAGGTAGTTAGCCGTGTTGGTCTGATGCAGTCGAAATAAATAAATAAAATTGTCCAGCAGGTTTACCATACTCATTGAGTCAATCACCCATCTCCTACTACCCTTCTGAGACAAACCCCACCCCATCCTCCCACTATATATAAGGGTCTGGTGATTTCTGTTTCAGTGTATCTGAAGAAGTGTGCATGCACACGAAAGCTTATACCCAGAACAAACTTAGTTGGTCTCTAAGGTGCAACTTTAAGGTGCAATTCTAAGGGACGCAGGTGGTGCTGTGGGTTAAACCACAGAGCCTAGGACTTGCTGATCAGAAGGTTGGCAGTTCGAATCCCTGCGGCGGGGTGAGCTCCCGTTGCTCGGTCCCTGCTCCTGCCAACCTAGCAGTTTGAAAGCACTTCATAGTGCAAGTAGATAAATAGGTACCACTCCGGCATGAAGGTGAACGGCGTTTCCGTGCGCTGATCTGGTTCACCAGAAGCAGCTTAGTCATGCTGGCCACATGACCCGGAAGCTGTACGCCAGCAGTAAAGCGAGATGAGCGCCGCAACCCCAGAGTTGTCCACAACTGGACCTAATGGTTAGGGGTCCCTTTACCTTTAAGGTGCAACTTAACATTTATTTATTTATTTATTTATTTATTTATTTATTTATTTAAGTATTTCTATGTGTGGAAAGCTCAGTCCCTTTACCCATGTAAATGACGCAAATTAAATCAAATGTAATGGTTTCTCTTAATTGGCAAGTGTCGATTCTACAGGTGTTTTCAATTTCCTACCCCAAAGTTTTTGATCAGAGCGATGGGGTTGTGGGGGAACTGCGTGCTCTCTGCCCCACGACTTAAATCTTCCCTGCAAAGCTGTCATTAGTCTACAGGTAGTAGTCAATTGTTGTCCTTTAGAAATACTTGAATGATTGTATCTCAGAAGAAAGTCCAGCTTGCTCCATTAGTCCATGGCTCATAAATATGAGAGCCAGTTGCCTGCTAGATAGATGCTGATAACTTGATTAGATCTTGGGGCCTAGTCTTTCCTTATCCTCATCCCCCCCTTCCTTTAACTGCTGTTTAAGAGACTGGCAGAGATTAACCAGGAGCCACAAATTACCATCGCATTGTAACCAAGGGACCTGGATTTTCTTCAAAGAAATTCAGGAATTTGCTTCAGCAATGGAACCTTAGAATGCCTTACATTCTAAGTAGAATGTTAGACAGCTGTGTTTATTTATTGGACAAGGAAAAAACCGTTTACACAATACTTAAAACAGGTGTAGGAAGGTAGCTCCTTCAACTTGTGTCTACCTGTAAAAACCCTACAGTGGTGCCTCGCAAGACGAAATTAATTCGTTCCGCGAGTTTTGTCGTCTTGCGATTTTTTTCGTCTTGCGAAGCACGGTGTCGGGAAAGTTTTGGAAAAGCTTCAAAAATCACCAAAGTCTTAAAAAACCTCAAAAAAGGCTACCACACCGCGTTATAGAACTCCTCGAAGTCAAGTCGCAACTGTATTAATGGTGTTAAGAAAAAGGAAACAAACTTGCAAGATGTTTCCGTCTTGCGAAGCAGCTCAAAAAACAAAAAACCCTTTCGTCTAGCGAGTTTTTTGTCTTGCGAGGCATTCGTCTTGCGAGGTACCACTGTATTGAGAAAAGTAAGGGAATTCAAATCAGATATACTGTATAACCCCTTTTCCTGCAATTCCTGAAATCCAAGCAGGTTTGCCCCAGATGTGAATATAACAATATATTCCAGGCCAATCAATCAAGTTCATTATAGAAAATTATAATACAAATGAACAAAATCACATAGCGATTTTGATTGTCAATTCAACAATTCATTAT